GGGGGGGGAAGCACCTTCAGGCTGTCCAATGGCTGTAAATTATTTAAATACATTTGCCCTTGGAATAAAACCCCTGTTTGTGTAGTTTGCTTCCTGCTCTCTCTCTGCTGGGCCACAGGGTGGTTCAGAGCATCTCTGGGGCCACCGAGGGCCTGCTGGGCCCAGCTTGGCCAAAGGGGGTGCCATGGGCAGGTGCCCACAGCCCCCTGCACCCCAGGGGCACTGGTGATGGGTTTTTTCCCTTCCCCTGATGCTCTGTATCATCAAAACCACAGGAGCTGCTGTGACACCACCTCGGTGACCGAGGCAGCACCTTCCCTTTATTGTCACAGGCGCATCCTCCAGAGGTGCCAGACAAAGGTGCTGTTTGCACAGCTCCAGTATGAAGCCTGGTTCAGGCTCCTGGTGCTCCCACCCCTCTGGTGCTGCGGCTCCTACACCTCGGCCCTGGGGCTTGATAGTAAAGGAGGAAGTGGGGTAAGAGCCAGCACTTCCAGCTGCTTTGGAACATAGAGGTGAGGGCCTTGGCCATGCCAGGAGCTGTGGCTGTCACCCCTGGACACTGCCTTGTCCCAGTGGTGCAGTGGGATGGGGAGCACTTACAGAGCTGGGCTTGACCCCAAGAACCAGGAACTGTCTTCAGGGCCGAGGGGAAGGAGCAGCAGCCCCAGGCACGCTGCTCCCCTGGGTGTAAAGGCAGATGGGGCAGGAGCTGCAGGATGCTCCTGACTCCAGGGGAGTGACTGGGACACGGATCCAGCACCGCAGAGAACACAGGGTCTATTCACGTCCCACACCCGGGCTTCCAAGAACAGGGTGAGACACCAGAGTCCGGACGGCATCGAGGAGACATGGGGATGGGAGATGGAGCTGGTGGGGAGAAACAGTCCTGGCACCCACGCTGCCCCCCCTTCAATCCTGCTTCATGTCCTTGTTCTTGTTCTGGAACTTCTGGTGGACGACGCGGAGAGTGGTGAAGAAGTTGCCCAGGAAGAGGATGAGGAAGGGGAGGCCGCACATGAGGACCTATGGAGGTAGGGGTGAGCAGGAGGGATGTGTGAGGGGCACCCCCTGCCCAGGGACCCCCCCCCCCTTACCTGCCACTCTTTGCATTCTGGGTGCTGGAGCATCCGGAAGAGGGTGATCGCGTTGTAGAGCTGCCAGAACTGCAGGAGAGAGGAGAGGGGGGGTTAGGCTCAGCTCCACGTTGATGCTCACCCAGCTGCCCCCTTTGGGCACAAACCCCAAGCACCAACACAAGCTGCGGAGGTGGTGGGTGCTTTGGAGGGAAGAAAAGGCTCAGTATTTGATGAAAGCACTTCCCTGGATCTGTATTGTGCAGCTACAACAGCCTGTAGGGGCCATGGGGATGGTGCTATGAGACAGGCTGAGAGAGCTGGGCTGGGGCAGCCTGGAGAAGAGAAGGCTCCTCAAGGGGACACCTTAGAGC